TTAAACGTGAAGAAAAGTTATAGACTATAAATCGTAAAAAAATTAATGAATAGTCAATCGAACGGTTAAAAATTAACTAATAAACGTTAAAACTTTTCTGGAATCTCTAGACAAATCAGTTTTAGTCTACAGATCATAGTTTAATGTTTTTTCAATAATTATCGAAAGTTCGGAACGTAGTTAGTTTATCACTGCTTTAGTGATGCTCAAAAACCCCATCGAAGGACACATAGTCTGTATATGCCTATTCAATATTTGCACATTCGACACCTATTACGGAAGTGCTCAAACCTGATAAGAATTTCTAAACTCTAGATTGAAAATATGCTCGGCCCTGTAAGAACCGAAGACCGCAATGGTAAAACTGGTAACGGGAACTTTACGAAACCGACATTAAAAAAGAAGAATCTGTGGTCGGTTTAAATCTGTCGATAAAGTGTGCATTTTTCTTACTTTCAAACGTGAAATCTGCTGATCGTCAAGTTGTTGCCGAGTAAAATGTTTACATTACGATTGAGTTTACTCGACATCAACATCTATAAACCGGTCCCAAGGGCCGTTCGTAACTTATAATCGTTGTGTACGAAATGGATGTATTATGTAATAGTAATCTTAGCCACACTAAGCGAATGGCGCAGTTTATGAATAGAAGGGACTTGCAAGCGAATAGTTAATCATTTTATTATAACGATAGTTGAAGAAATATTTTTTCTATAAAAATTTCGAGAGCTTTCATAAATCATCACGCATTTATTTGCATATAAAAATAGTTTCTTGATATTTTGCTTATTACCATTTCTAACTTTTTTTAATTTTCTTTTACACATCCGAAACCGATGGTCTTTCTTTATTTGTTGCAAGTGCTCTTATTCAAATTTTGTAGAGGTCTGAAAGAAAATTTTCGATATACATTTTTTGTAACCATCAAATTCTTGCAATGTGATTTCAAAAATTGCTTTTAGAAACTATTTAAATATAATTTTTTCATTTATAGTATTGAAGCGCGCATATTAATTATATTTCTTCTTAAAATCAGTAATCCAAACATAAAATTGATGTAGATAGGTGAAGTAACGCTCATAATAACTAAAAGCCAGAAACAACATCGCAGTTCCTTTTTTCAGAAAGACCACTTGCGTTAAAGAGGTCTTTTGAGCGCCTTAAGTTTATATGGGTACCTGGTGATCCATTATAAAGTATCGCCAACATAATTTTTAGCCATTGTAGACCTGCTGGGTAAACAATGCTCATTTCTTTACTTCATAAATAAGCACGAAAAAGATCACAACGCCAACTTTCACTATTCTATTCCAATGAAACTCCACATACATGGATAAATCGGCATGGATTCACCTGCTGATCAAATGTATTAATAAAACTCTACTTTACTATTGAAATAAAGAACTGAGTCACGATAGCGTAACCGTTCAGTTGTTTAATTCTAATAAACTAATTCTAATGAGCTCTATTTTTTTATTAAAATGATTGAATATCGCGTAAGAAATATATCAAAAAATTAAGCTAAATTTTGTCAGTATTTTGTAAGAATAGCTTTTGTTGTTTTAACTACTTTTATATCCACAATGAATTTATAACGAATTTCTATGCTGACAAACTAGATTAAAAGAATAAATCCTTACATTCTTAATGTTAAACGAATGTATATAAGGACATTTTGTTAATTAATGAGGAAGAGAACTGCCTATTCCATTTGAAAATTTTTCAATTATAATTTGAAATTATTTAATTATTTGCAAGAAATGGTTAAAATTAGGTGAGCTAAATTCAACTAGGTTAGTAGAGATTTAACTAAGTGGGTGGCAATTTTATTACATGAACATGCGAAATGCAATTCTAGTAAGTACACATATTTACGATTTAGGTATTATATTAATTAACCGCAAACAATTTTCCTCAATGTTTTTCCTCAACAGTTTTCCTCAATGATGACGAAAGACGATATTAGGTGTTTTGTACGTAAATTGTTAATTGTTAACTAAAGTGTAATGTAATGACCTGACCAAGTCTACGATTTTTGCAAGAGCTCCAACAGAAATCTAAAACGAATAAACACGGCCAGTTCGATCTAAAATGTCACAATATTAAGTCAGAGCAGATATAGAGGCTTTCAATGCGAATTTCTGTGTTGCAATTGTGACGTTGTACTTAGTGCATTCCTACCCATCGGTATATAGCTTTAAAAGTAAACCATTTTTATCTTATATTTATTTTTATTCTTCCATTTTCGACCACATTGCTAATAAAAAAGCAAATGCTTGCAATATTCTTTTATTTTCGCTTCTACGAGAACTTCGGGCTTGCGATTTCGGCCGCGTGTAATGTACTGCCATGTATTCGTTGTACTGGTAATATTCACCACCTAGTTTTGGTGAACAAATATCTGCATGTTCAATAACGTAACTCAACTGAATACTGAAACAAAAGCAATGACTAAAGTTCAAACTTATAATAGAAGGCTTTTCTAGGTTCTCGCCGTCCATACACTTAAACGCTTTTTCTCTTGTATATTGAAATTCACGACATCTGATGGACAGTGGAGAATCATGAAAAGTAAGAAATAGATAATTAAAGACATCTTTGGCTACATATATGGTAAACGGAGTTCCCTCCGAAACTCGTTGATCTTTGTATCTCAATTTTATATCAGCTGAAACTTCACCACGGCACATAAAGGAATAAGTTATATCGACAAACGGATAACAGTATTTCGATAGCTCTTTCGGTGGTATTATTGCTCTACTTTCAGAACCTTCCTTTGATTCAGAAGCGTTATCTTTTCCACTGATCCCCAGGTGCTTAATAAGAACTAAAATCCACAAGACCCAGCCGCACTTTCTTAAGAACATTTTTCGTTTAATTTTTGGAGCGTGCGTTAATCACTATTGATTGATTAATTTGACAGAACTTGCTTGAATAATAAATCATCGATGAATGGAGATGTAGCAATGTTGTCAACATAAATGTAACATTCAGATGCATCAGTGATTCCATAAAGAACACCTAGCATTAATCAGCTTTGGCACATCGGTTTATTTCCTCAAGCACACGTATTATTACCTGATTTCCATAAATGAGAAAGCTTCTGAGAGGTTGTCGTTCTGTTTTTAAAAGACAAAGGACAAATTTTATTATCATTTTCGTCTATAGCTTACGGACTTAAACTTAAAACCAAGCCAAAGTGCGATTTTTCTAAGCGTCATGTATTTATTCTTTTCAAAAATAATCGATAAAAAATTGCGTAACGAATAGTTTTAAATGACTTGATTCGCTTAAAGAACATTGCCAAGGATGAAGTTTTCCCATCTTTCCAAACTTGGAAATTAATATATTTCCTACTGCTTTAGCATAGGCTTTTCACAATATTAGTCAGTACGGTATAACTCTTTGAGAATCGCTCGAGATTAATGCGTACTTATAATACCTGGCTACGAAGCTATAACGAGTACTACTCTTTGATTGAAGCCAATTTGAAAGTGAACGTTGTAGACTTTGATCGATCAATTTTCCATAGGTTTCAGCATAATACGTACATTACACTTAAAATAACCTCTCTATAACACACTAGATTCTAAGTCGGTCTACTATTTTACTTGGGCTGACAACAAAATCACCTAACGAAGCAACGCCATGTGCACTGATTGTTTTTAACAGTGTGGAAATTTTTACGACCATATAATAAAGTCAGTCATTTTGAATTATAACGCAGCGATCGCCATGTTCGCTTTAATGCGAGCGATTTTGTGATTTATGCTCCAGCAAATCAAAGTGCGGTCAGTGTGGTCAAAGTGCGGTTATTGTTTTCTATTTTCAATCTTGTCATTTCGATTTCATTCATTTAAATATAACAACAAGTATAGAAATAAAATAGGCAAACAATAAATTTATTGGATAGCATGTACAAGTCATACAAAAAGATTTTCAGGTTTGTTTTTGTTGACATTTCTGATATTTTAAATAACTGTTCTGCTTTGACGTAATGAAGTTCTTCCTTCAAGCACACGTTGCTGCAACTCCCGTAGAAATACCATATAGTAAATTATTGCTCTTAGCGATCTCTCGACAATACTTATTTCACTTGAAACATTTACTATAGTAATTTTATATGCCAGACAAAAGAATAATTCTATTCACATTTTGTGCAGATCTTAATGGCAATTTACCATTTTACCTGGTGTTTAGTTTTAAGTATATACTTCTATTCAATTTCAGTTCTTAAGTTAAATATATGCACGTTCATTCAATTTTGTATCTTTCATTTACACATTCACATATCAACATGACCAAGTTCAATTGTTTATGCATTTGCATTTGCACAATCGCGTTTCTGTGTTTGTCCGTTTCATACAACTGACCACAAACAACAATATCATTTGTTACGTAATCCAGACCTTGAAGTGTGTCATCGATCGTTTACATCAATTTGCTTATATTGCATTTTTGTGGCACAGTTCAAGCGGTTCATATTGCCGGAAATAAATAAACGCAAAATGAAAGTGCATCATTTTTTATGACTTTATTTTTAGCAACATAATTCTTAATTAGTTTATAAGAATTGTAATTTATAAGCCATAACTTTATCAATAAATTTGTCTTTGCACTACTACATTGACCGGTATTTTTGTTTAGTGGTTTCTTCCAGTTACAAGTGCTGGAGGAACCAAATATAATAAGTTGGTACGACTTGACGCAACGTCTTGTCGAATTATATCAACCAATTAGGCACTGAACATTCAAACAAGAAAATACATTCATAACATTTTTGAGCATTTTTTGGTGACTCTGACGTGATTGGCACGTCTTCGTGATACTGAGATATTGCGCTCACGTCACCGCATGCGAACTTAACACCTGGTTAAATAAATGCCTTAAAATACTATTATGAAATTCGCTTTTACTAAAATACAGTCCGGATCACTGGATCGTGGATGTTTTGATCAAGTGAAATACACTTCAAAGTTCTTTTATTTTACTACTTTGTCTTTCACAACAGTAGGAGTATTTATTTACAATTATATTTCTTACATGTAGGATTATTCACAATGAGACTGCTGAATTTGTAGTTGTTGCAACTGCGACGGCATCCTGCTCTGCGGTCCTTCCCATTTGTTGGCTACTGCCGTGCATAGCTGCGGAAGTGTAAGTATGTGTCGACCTAGAAGCAGTTGTTGATGAAACTTTTTCCCTCGTATCTGAAGATTTTTGGCTATGTAATGGAGAATCCGTAACTCGTTGCACACAAGGCAGCTTATATTCTTCTCTTTCTTTTTGTCGCAGTTTCCAAATTTCATAGTGACTATGCCGTTTATTTTTGTAAAGTTCAAAAAAGTTTTGTTTATGCTGCAATATCAGATCTCGTAAACTCTCATTGTTATCGTTAATCTTACAGGTGAGCGGGGGAATGCCAATTTTTTCTCGATGTTTAGTTTTGCCATGATTATCATCATCATCATCTAACAATTGCTCCTCGTTAATGGTCATACTCTTACAAATGTTACGGAAACGTGGTTTAACAGACAATTGTTCAGTAGCCGTCATAATATCTGAGAATTTTTCGTATGCGTTTCCTTTCGTTGTCATTTGGTTCTTTTTAAATTATTGTTCAAATTAACAAATCCCTCATTCGATTCGTCGATTACAACCTCGATGTCTTGAATTTTTTTTTTCTCTAGGACCTCTGAAGACTTGTATGATTTAATTTCACCATTGTCGTGGCTTTCCGTATCAACAGCATCGTATAGATTCTTAGATTGCGGTTGAGCTACTATAGCTACGTCCCTTTTTATACGATCGTGTATACTATTTTGTATAGTATTGCTTTCCACTGGAGAGCTATCCGGAAAAAGTAGCAAACGTTTTAAACGTTGTAACCCTTGAATTTCGTTTTCAAACCAACTTAGACGTTTATTTTGCTGTTTCCTTTCATATTCTACCTCAGAACTCGTCATTGGGTTTAAAAATTCACAAATATTTAGTTGTGCAAAATCTACATGCGAAATAGTATATATACTTTCACATTTTAATACTTCTGATAAACTCTTTATTTTTTACTATTACGAGAAGGTAATTTCCACATATTATTTTCTTCAGTTTTTTGACAATTTACTATAACTACTGCTTCTTTCTATTTTGCCGTTTGTTTTTACCTTTGTAATCACACGTATTTAAAGTCCAATAGTTTGACGCCTCAGTCCTAGATTCTGTTATTATTATTGACGTAGCCTTCGATATTGACGCCTTTTTTTATGTGGATTAGCTGCGATCTGTTCTTTTGTTTTCGATGCTTTTGACGATGGCTCGTATACTAAATAAAAAATATATAAGAAAATATAAAAAAAAAAGTGAAAACTATTAATTTTGTACATACAAGTGTATGTAATTCTTTTTTTCTTCTGTTATTCAGCAAATTAACAATCGCAAATTCTCGGGATGTGTAAAAAAAACATTGTGAACGCAAAGTTCTTTGTTTGGCGGTTACTAAAGTGGGGGTTAAATTTCGTTTATGAAGTCTTTATTTATTTATTTTAGCGATTATTTGATAAAAGATTTCTTTTTTTAATTTTGCGTGTTATACGTCTGTCATGTTATTTTTTTTTATAGGTTTTATTAAAGTACGCATATTACTTGTTCGTGACGTAGGATAGAAAAAAAGAGTGAGAAGTAAATTGCGATGTGTTAGAAGTAATGTGATATATGAGTATAAAAATTATATCAAGGAAGTGCTCGATGTGAGAGCAAAAATGTGCAGAAGAGAGTGGGTTCATAATTTGGATGTAAACACTTATATGCCTTGATGGCACGGTTTAAAAAAAGAAAAGATTGCGACGTAAACTGTTAAATTGCGAGAACGCCAAAAGTCAACAATGCCACATATACTTAATCTGTGAAGTGTGGAATGGCGTAACATTCGGACAGACAAATAGGATATGATCAGGAGATTGTAGGACTCTACATGCACATAAGGGGGTATTCACCATGTTAGTTTTAAATGGATGATCATTAAATTTCGTGTGATTGAACATCTGCCTGTTAATAAGACAAATAAGGTCACGTCTCAGGCTGCAAACGATAAACCAAGGGCCTTTATTTATGGTCTGGAAGATACAATTTTATCGGCAATGTTGTTGCTAAGAATGCCCATGTGACACCCAGAGGAAGTGAAAATAAAATGTATCAAACTTGAGGCTTTAAAGTAAGTATATGATTTGTAAATGAAAAGTAAGGCCGGATGATTCTCAAAAGATAGAATTTTATTAGACAAAAAATTGGTGTATAAAAGATGTTTTTCTTGTAGAATTTATGCCACCAAGAGCCAGACGAAGGCATTTCCATTGGAATTTTAGATGGGACAGGCGTATTTTAATTTTGGTCTGATTAAGTCAAGATAAAGTTTAATCATGCAAAAGGGGTCAGCGCTCCAAGAAATACCACAAATGGATTTCAATACATTGATGACCTGAAAATATTCTTTGGCAGTTTTGTCAATGTAAGCTGCTGATCAAAGTGTGGAGTATAGGACAAAGCCTAAAAAGTATAAAGTTTTAACAAAGGGCATGAAAGAACCATAAATGAGCAGAAGAGTAACCATGGGGTCTCTTCTTTTGTTTGATAAGACCAAGCATTTGGTCTTATTGACTGAAAGTGTGAGTTGAAGTGATTTAAGACAAGAGGAAATAATGTCGAGAGTAGATTGAAAATTGCGCCTGTATAAATCTTTATCAGCTGCATTGTACAAACAAAGGTGTTGTGTGACTTCCATGCACGTGAAGCTCGATTTGATGGTACGGTTTTGTCCATAAACTACCCCTCCCAGCTAAGTTCTCCTGTTAATCAAAAAACTTATCGTAAAAGAATGGAAAGACGAACATCATGTTTTAGCTAGAGAAAAAAAATGACCGGCTTTTCTACAAAATTTACTTTTTTTTGACACCCACACTTCTACCTAAAGGAAAATTTACAACATGGGAATTTAAAGTCTTATGAGTAATCACACCTAAGAAAGGTATATTTTAAAATGATCAAAGTCTCCTCCACTGATATTTGTGAAGAATGCAATATTACTGAGTCTGCCGAGCACCTTATTTTTGATTGCAGGAGGTTTGACATCCTTAGACAGTCTTTCAGTATATTTAGCTTGTATATCAATTTATATGAAATTTTTCGTGCTGGTAACTTTAGGCATTTGAAGCAACTGACTGCCTTTATCAAATCAGCTAATTTTTCGTTCTAATTTTGCGTTTATAATTTCTTTTACAATCACGAATCGCTATTTTCTTTTTTGTCGGTATTTCTAGCTCGAGTTTTGACTGTACAGTATCAAGTACGATGATGTATGGGTTGACAGCTGAACAGAGCTTCTCATATTGAATGCCCTGTCACATCAGTCTCTACCAGTGCTCAAAATTATCATCAATGGCTTCCAACTATGTTACTGGATTATGGATCTAATTTTAACTTAACTGGTCCAATCCACTTCCTAACAAATCAAAAAAAAAAAAAAAACAATAAGGTTTTATGTGTATGTACATTTAAAATATGAAAAATTTGAAATGGCAATTGAGTTTATGTAAGAAATATGCGATTCGTGAGCGCACATTTTTTATCACATAAGTCGTCTACATAAAAAATGTATTCTTGAAAGGTAAGGTAAAAAAGCCCCTTAATGGAAAATATGTCCATATTTGTTTTTCATGAAATTGGGTTTCTCGTAGTCTTCGTGGTGTTTTTCATTGCTTTTTTCGAGCCAGTGTGAGTACTTCTAATCTATTTCAAAATTATTTCATAGGCTCCGACTGTACGTAAAATAGACATAAACCGCTTATTGTTATGATCACAATGATCGGTGGACAAATTTCTATTGGCTTGTACGTTCCAATTATTGCAGATTGTATATGGCACAAGATGGCCGCAAAGATGGTTCGTTGTTGAGAACTGAATCAATAGATTCAGAGCGTTATCAGAAATTTCGCTTACAGTCGCTTCACTACCCACTCTTCGTAATCGTATATAATTAACACAGGCATTTAAAGGTATACATGGGTCTACTTTTCCCGATCACCAGTCAACTGTTGCTTTATTGAAACGATAAAAATAATCATGAATTGGAAATAGAGCTCCCAAAGTTAAGTTGCTCAGAAAGCAATATTTGATAAAAAATTTGTACAATTATTAAATGTATCGATGCGCGACTTAATTGGTAGTGATGAACAAGTTATAAATAGCTAGAAGAAATTTCGTCATATAAAAAGGAAAACAAGTCAAAACGTAATAGTTAGATGAACTCGATCCACGTTAGAAAAAAAAATATTTTTAGCTTTTTCACATAAAGCAATGTGCGAAAAAAGAGAGAAAAGAAAAATCGATTAAAACCTTTTAGCTGACGAGGGCTGACTATTAAATATCCTACCCGGCCTCTTCTAATACAATACTTACAATACCAACTTGCGGCGTAAAATCTAGAAATTTAGAAAATTGCTATACAAAGACTTATTTTTCATAAGTATGCTTTATGCCGAGGGATCCAAGAAGTACACCTGTGAATTCCGAACTTAGTGTAGTAAACTTTGGTAGTCAAATCACTAATTTGTGACAATTTTCATCGTAAAGTACTAAAATCTAAATGGTTAAATTGCGGTAAGGCCTCAAAGTGCGTGGACTGCATTAAAATAACTTGTATTGTTTGTCAATCTAAAAGTTGTAACGCTTTGAACAGAATTGTCCAAAAAGAAACGGTGAACAAGACAAGATGATAATGACAACTGAAAATATCTTTTGCAAAGAATACACGGATTAATATTCATCCAATTATTTCCTATTGTCTTCATAGCCTTAATAATTGCGTGTCCGCCATTATCAGACCCTGTATCCACTACTTCTTCCAAAAACCCCACGAACGCAATTAATAAGATCTTCACGAAGAAAGCAGGCGACGTCAACATTACATACCCTTTATATGGTAACTTCATATCTTCCAACAGTGCAAAGACTTCGCGAATATCATCAGGGCTAGCAGATTTAATAATCGTAATAACGATAACTTTACCTCTTGTTGCAAGACCTTACGTTTATTAATTGCACTACCTTATCCTTTTAATGGAAAACTTTAAATATTTTAAGTGGTGCGAAAAGTCGCCACACTCCTATTACACCAAATAATTCGTAGTTCCTAACAAAAAATTGATAATTTAGTTTCCCGTAAACGTTTATTTTGACAGTCAAGTAAACCTAAATTCAAACAAAGAACCTTTTAGTCCAAAACCACTGCTGCTTAACCAAATTTTAGCGGCGTCAATACGTAAACACATAAATCATGGTGGAGCCCATCCTTCTCCGTCCTTTTCCGTAAATACCAGGCATTAATTAGAAAGGTTACCACCTACTCTGCTAAATGTTCTAGTTTCGCTTTTAATTGAGGGTTCGTCTAATTTGAGTAAATCGGCCTACTACTACTAACTAGTAGCACAACTAACCAGCACAAATGTCAAATTTCCCCTTTGCCAAAGTGTGTTCTCCAGAAGACATAATTGGGTGCACAGAATTAGCTAATTGTCTGTATATATGTAAATTCGGTTTATACATTTATTTTACCCATCACATTTAAATAGCGCTTATATAACATTAGATTTCCAAAAGCAGCTATCATTGTATACTAAGTTTCATTGCGGTTTAATTTTTTTATGTCCAGTCTACAGATCGCAATTTTTGAGGCATTTTGAGGAAATTTGGTACACCGAGTTGGTTTGGCCCAAGGACAAACACTATTGAAATTGTTGGATCATTTTCTCAAGTAGTTCTGAGCGTCTTACTCGTTATTGAATGATTGTATTGAGCGGAGTGGTTTAGGGTAGTGTAGTACGGTACTTAATGACCGGCCCCGGTCAACTACAATGTTTTCATTTGCTTTTTGGTAATTAAGGGATCACTTAAGACAATCAAACTATTTGGTTTTCTAAAAAATTTGCAGTAGCGCTACCTTTTAATCTCAATGCAAGCCTGAAGGAAAAATCATGGCGTAATCGATTCTTGTCCGCCCTCTTCCGCAAATATCAGGCCTCAATTAAAAAAGTTAACAGCTACCTTATCCCACCATATTAAAAGAAGTTTAGGATAATTGAAGGTGAAAGGAAATACTCGATTGGACGCGCAAAAACACGGAGTTCGTACCATTGATGAGTTCTTTGCCAGTGGAGATCCACAATCCAAAGCAGTCGTAGGAAGGCCAGTTTTCCGACATGAAGTGATCGTGGCGATGGCCTGTAGGGCTATATTCTGGTTGCAGAAATTTAAAGGCAATGGATATAAGATAAGCGAATGATGAACTAAATTTTAGTCTGGCACCCTCTACTACAAAGACGATTGTCGCGATGAAGACATTCGCTTTGTTTGTTTTCACTAAACGGAGGCACTTGATTACTTTGAGGGGAATCGATAAACTCTAGTCTGCATTACTCTCGCACGGTGAAGAGGTGCGCTAAATGTGTTCTTATGTCTTGCCAGGGGCTTCTTCTCTTCACACATTTTGTTGCTATTGCTGCGCAAACTCGATTTGAGCCTTGCTTATTTTTTCTTCCAGAGTCTCATTTCCCTCAATAAACGAAAGATGTCAGGGTAGGCCTCCTCCGCCCAGTGGGAACACAATGTCCATGTGCAGCATGTTGACTGGTTCCACATTGCCGTCTCATCTGCAGATTTTACTCCACATCGAATCTCAGATTATATAGGACTTGTTCCAAAACCTGGCCGAAGGCTTTTATTAATCCTTCTTCCATCACTTTTTCTCTTTTAATGTGGTACAATTGATGTTAAGCGCCCCCGAAGCAATCTTTTAGCTTCGTCCTAACAGCGGGAGCCTCCCATTCCGGGAGTTTCGCAGTGGCTGTGGTTACTCCAAAATCGTGGCAAAAATTTAAGATGTTAGATAGACCAAGCCCTAGTCAGGGGGAGGGACATGCCATATACATTTTCTAAGTCTGAAATTGCAACGTAGCTTTGCTCGCCGTGGGGCGCAGATGACGCTTTTTCACTCCGTGTGCCAATGGGTGCCGTAGGGTTAAGACTTCGCGGGAGGTACGTACATAAAACCCCTTAGAACATCTACACTTAACCCGTGTTGGACCAATAATATCATGCCAACTGGTTAGCACCTTATCAAAATTATACAGATTCCAACACCAAGAAAATATTTAAACCTAATTACTAACTTAGACCGATTTCTTTAATTCGTGTTTTCATAAAGTTAATCAGTTCCATGGCCAAAAAGAGGCAACTATCTAAATTCTGAAAACATTATTCCGGTCCGTTTCTTTGCTTATCAAAAATACAGATGATTCAATGCAAAAAAAGGGGAAAGAAAGTTATCGTACTCTCTTTAAACATCAGAAAAACTCATAATTCTGTGGTTTGGTAACCCTTTGTAAGCTTCTACTACGCTTAAAGTTATGGATTCTAAATCCGTTGTGATTGTGGGTAGTGCTACAGTAGAAATGTATGGAGGAGTAACTTAACCAAGCTCTGTAAGCGCCACCATTTGCATACTGCTAAGTTGCAGGAAAGTCGAGATAACAAAATTCATATTTTCAATACATTGATGATTTCTTAAATGTTTCAATTACATTATCATTTGACAAAGCTATTGAAAATCTTTCTGCTAAAGCCAACCTTTGCTATAATTTCTTTGCTGATCCCAACTTACCCTTTAATCCTAGCAAAATTAACGCTATCTGTTTTGTTGAAGGAAAATCGTAAATCCATCTATTAATGGTTTCAGAATTGAGCAAAAGGGAGCACTTCGTTTTCTGGGAAGAATTATGAACGACGGTCAAACCGTACAAGGTCAATATGAAAAATTCTGCAAATAACCGAACAAGTCTTCCCCCTAATACAGCTTTAACTATTTATAAGTCGTTAGCCCGCTCACCCGACTTCCAAAACACATACAAAAAAATTGCAAAATAGGTTAAGATCTCTACTGGACTAACACTATTCTGAGGGTGATATGCTTGTCCGGGATAGAGGTTTCCTTCTGACGGCCAGGGAATTGATTACTGTCAGGATTACAAGGTCTTCATTCTCCCAGGAACTCACCTCACTGTGCAATGCAGAACCATGCAGCTATAGACATTGCTTCCAAAAATTTGAAGACGTTTTTGACTTAGTTAACCACATTTCAGTAGAGGATTTCAGTCATAAAACATGTAAGATCATCTTGTATATAGTGCTGTCAACATCTGGCTCGAAAAGAAATATTAACTAATCCTGTACAAGATCTCTGGGTACTTACCTATTAACGCCCCCGTGGCAAAAATATTATTATTAAAATGTTATTATTATTAAAAAAAAAATTATTAAAATATTATTATTATTATTATACATTATATTTAGAATCCAAAAAATTCTTTTCTAAATTTTAAAAACGTTGCTTTTTATCGGTTTTTTAATAATATTTTTGCCCGATTGCGTTAATACTTAAGTACCGATCATCAGTTTCGGAAATGGCTTTATGTCTGTTATAGAAACTATTTATATATATATGCCATAGATTGGTCGGTAGGCAATAGCGGTTGTGGTTTCTTGGTGGTTACATGAAAATCACTGGCTGCTCACCAAATGACGCCTGCGAAATATGAGACGCAAGAGAATCGGGTGATCATGTCATTTTTAATTGCCGTAAACTTGGAAATATCAGAAGATATTTTAATGTTTTTAATACATACAGTAATATAAACGGTTTTTTTAGTGCTCATAAGTACGCTCTTCCTAAGGAATTAACTTATTTCATTAAAAATGAAAATACATCAATTACTTTAAACCTAAAATTTGTTAATTTTTTACATATTCATAAAACATTGTTGCTCTGAATGATAGTTTTCACTAATTTTTTTCTACTTTATGAAATTTTTTACAATTTTTTAAACAGCCTAAGCCTGCGACACTTCTATTGTTCGGTTTAAATGTTAAGTTATATTAGTTATGTTCACCGTATACAAGCACTGAAGTGTTACAATTTTTCAGCAATCTGTACATACAAAACAAAAGTGCTAAAAATTACTATTTGTTGCCATATATAGAACAATTTTTCTTAGGTACGTTTATTCGGAAAAATTAACTTTTCCCATCTACATTTCTCACGTTTGTATAGTATAGCAATACACTGTTTTTCAACGACTTTGGCGAGAAATATTAGGAAAGCAAAATTTTTTACATAACGATTTTTTTAAATAAGTTTTGATACGAGGAGTCGTCGTAACTTCGGTTTGATTTAAACTATTTTTAATAAGGCTTACAACTGTGTTAAAATATATCATTGCAACAAATTGCCTCAAAATATTTCAAAAATTATGTGGTTTAAAAACAATAGTGCCATAGCAAATTTAATCTGATAGCATAACAAAACCCGAGTTTATTTCAAATCCTTCAGCAAACTGTCGCATAAACTTATGTAACCTTATTCCAAGTGGTGTAGAATAGCAAAATTATAAGATGGAAAGGGAGAGATAGAGAGGGAGAAGCACACTTTTGTTTGTTTCGTTAGGGTGATTAGAGAATTTAAAACTATCTGAATACAATTTCATTCTGTGTTTTATAAAATTGTTACCTGTTTATGAGAATGAAGACCTTCACGTCCCTACACAAATGATCCATGTTGAGTCGTTAACGGTGACAAGAAATACGTAAAAAACTTGTTAACTTTCGGCATGGAAACATTTTACTGGTGGAGATAAATACATAACTTTAAAGCATTGTTTAACTTTCTGATGTAGGTTTATGATACGATTAAATCGGCAAAGAATATGACCTTTTTAATTTGATTTAAAGCAAATGCTTGCCAAATATTTTATGAATAAAGGTTTAGGAATTGCTATTCTTGAAAAAGGATCCATTGCTCGCACAATTACAACACTCCACTCTTGCTGTCGAACTTACTGCATGTTGAGATAAATTTCTGATTTTCTGTTGCTTCAGTCGGGTCTTGGGACTGTAACCTGGATTCATAGTTAGGATTGGTGAAAATAAATCTTCCAGATTGAATCGATGGCACTGCGGATTGAGTACTACATACTTGGTCACTTCCATCCAAGACGTTATTAGGTGCCACTATATTTACAGTGTTTGCTCGTTGCAATATTTCCGTGACCGAATTAACACTTATACTTCGTGATTTAAGAAAGTTGTCATCTCCCGAGCTCGGCTGAATATTATTTTGCCAGGCAAAATCACTACTGCCGCTCAAACGCATAATGCGTTTAATTATTTCTCGTACCAGTTCTTTTTTCTGCATATGTGTGATATTTTTCGCGTTGATTAATGAACATATCAACTGTGTACCCAAATCTAATTCAGGTGCATAATGTAGGAGGGAAAAATTATTACTTGATATTTTTGTAGAGGAGTGACAGGTATTTTCTTTGCTCCCTGCAAGAGTGTCTAGGAAGTTAATTTGCAATTTTTGTATATTGGAAATATTATTAGAATGCTGGACGCTTCTTTCTATACGTATTTTACGTTGCACTACATCGGCTAAGTTGCCAAAAAAGTCATGTGATTGGTTTTTATTCCGCCCATGTGAAGACGTCAACGATTTGGTGGGATCAGATTTGATGTATTCAAAACTGGACGGAGTCTCAATTCCTTCAAGCACCGAAGTCGAAGATGATAGGTTAACTTGCACTCCCTTATCAATAAGTTGCGGTGCTCGACTTAACGTTGTCTGGCTAAAATTGTCATTTCTTTGTTTGTTAGTAAAACAGGTACTTTGGGAATTTATTTTGTGCACATTAGAAATCATTCTCGAGCAAACTCCGCTGTCCATTAACGTGCTAGAGGTTAAAGGTTGAGTTTCTTGCCTATTGATAATGAGCGATGCAGGTGAAATTCTTTCAGACGTGTTTTTTGAAGTACGTGAGTTCTGGGAGTTTTTTTATATTAATTAGTTGTTGTAATACAAATCTCTCTAAATAACTAACACTTATATTGGATGTCAATCGATCGTAACCTACATCACCCAGAGAGTCCCATTCTAAAAGTTTTTGCGCTGTGGCCACTGATTCTGGAGTATGTGTGAGTTTTGAATGAATAATGCTCTTTTTCGATGCTTCCAAATCCTTATCCAATATACTCATGGCCTAGGTTACGATAGTTTTATATAGAATTGAAATTAATGTTGTTTTGAAAATGGTGTTTACTTTTACTTACATTTATTGCACCGGCATTATGCATACTTTGACTCATTTCTTTGCGACATCGTAAATTAGGCTTTGTCTCTAAATATTTTAGCCTCTCGTTACTGCGACTGCATTCCATTTCGTGATGGACGTTTTGTTGGCAACGAATTGTCTTATTAACCATTTCAGTTTTTTGATCATCTTGAGAACTATCGCTTTCTGGTGAATACAAACGCATAAACCTTTTTAAATCTTTACTTCCAAATTTCATATAATAATCAACTATTTTGCTAGAGCCGCGCGGCGTTTGCAGCATGTCGTGCTTCCATATGTGTTGATATGTTCTGTCCATCCCTTGTACAGAAAGAAAACCCGGCCGCTATTATTATAATTTTTTTTTTTTTGGATGTTGAGTTAAGATGGACTAAACCAATAAGATTTGTGGCTTATAGGTGTAGACAATAAACTGTAGAAATTATTTGCAAAAAATATATACAAAATACAAAAAAAAAGCTGCGGCTATGACATCTAAAGCCGATAAGTTGAGTGTAATTGTAGATTGCTGGCTTGTTAAAAGTGATGTAAAAATAGTGTTGCAAAGTTTGGCTGAAAAAAGAATGTTTTAGAAACAGCCTCTAATTGAATGTAAAAGAAGAAAAAAATATCAGGAATTAAAAAGATTAATTCTCTTTTCTAAGCAAGTTAGTTCCCCGAGATAAAACACATTTTATGCTGCAAAAAGCTCGAGGAAGCCACCATTTAATTTGGAAAAGCCAGAAAAACTTCTAACACCATCGAGTCTGTGATATCTGAAAACTAGATGTTCAGCAATATTACAAACTTCACATATATCACATCGTTTAGCACGGTCTATTTTTAAATATAGGTGTTTGCAAAATTTTGATCAGCGACTTCTACAGGTAAAAATGATAAAGGAATGGGAAATACCAATGTACGTAGCGGTTGGATCCGATGATCCAGACCTTACTCCACATAAAATAACAGTTTTCCATTTAATATTATAGATTTGTTTGGCGTACACCGCCGCTAATCATGGAACGCTCAAAATTCTTCTTCCAAATTCATTACTTTTATTGTTTATTTGAAGAAATCTGCAGCCGATGCCCACCAAACAAGTTCAGAGGCTTATAGTGATGCTTCTCCGTCGATTTTGGTTCAACGATTTAAAAGTGCCGACACGAACTGAGTGAAAATGCCACATTTTGGCTACTCTGTTGCAGCTCGAATGAGATTTTTCGCCACACCCAATGTACTCACCAGACATGGCACCTCCTGATTACCACTTGTTCAGCTCGGTGCAGCATGGCTTGAGTATCACGCGGTCCGCAAAGTTGAACAAGTGCGAAAATGGGTCGGGGTGTGGATCATTGTCAACCAATATAAGTTCGTTCGAGAAGACATCGCCATATTGCCAAAAATATTGTAAAATGTTCTAGAAAATAATGGAAACTATTTTGATTAATGTTAACTGCACCAATTTTCCATAATAAATGCGTTTTTGAAGTGAAAAAGTAACTAAAATTGTTGCAAACGCCTAATACTTTTTCATAAGTGTGACCACTCATGGGTCGACAAAAAATTTTGATTTCCCAAGAATTAAAGGAAACCTCTGATAAGGGTTTAAAGTTAAATGCGGGATTTATTTTGTAGAAAAGACGATTTGATTTGGCACGCGTAATTTCTTTAACATCATTTAGTTGTTTAAAGATGTGGGTACGAATAGCCCGTGTTGCTTCATTAGGAGTATATTTAATGGATGAAATCGTGCCATCAACTTTAGCTATTTTTGGATGCAAGTCAGACTTTTCATCAAAAAAAAACCTCCTTGACCAGGTATCCAAACAAGGCAACAGTCATCCACTTGAGATCCCTATAACATCCAGAATATCAAACACATATGGATTACCTGCCTCTCTTTTATTTATTAGAAGCAGAGAGAAGCAGATAAAGAGCTTGGTATCCACAGACGTATTTGAAGGAAAATTGAAAAGTGTAAGAGAATCCTATCCAGCTTTATCAAATTGACACAATCATAGCCTTTGCCGATATCCAGGGAAAACATAAAAACCATTTTACCTGCTTTCTTTAGACTAGCTATGAGAAAGGATAATCCATTAACGCACTGGTTCGTGGATTTGCGCTTTTGATACGCATAAGAACGAGCTGGAATAATATTCCCAGTTTTCAAAAAATACATCAGCCTCTCCCTAACTATGAGATTAATAATCTGTATGAATACAGATATTAGCGAAGTGGGTCTAAAGTTACGTAAATCATTTAAGTCTTTACCCGGCTTGGAAATGGGAACTTTGATGCATCGTAAATCCAAGGTTGTAAAGTTAATAGACCAGCAGTTTTGAATCGCTCGCAACAGGATAGTTAAGCTTTCAGACAGTGCTCTGACCATATCATACTTAACTCCATCACAACGTGCAGCAGTAGCACAGAATTCTTTCATCATGACACCTTTATTTGACCTTTTTACCTTTGTAACTGTAGACCTCCATTTTTTCAGTGTTTTCGTATATTCAATGAAGTGGCCTGGATTGGCATATTTACTAATTTTTTCCCTTCCAGCTTGGTATTTGCGAAAGAGTGTTGACAGGGAAGACTTCCATCAAGATTTAGGTGAGAAGGACTCACTATCAGAAAAACTCAATATCTAGCAGACTTTATCTCAGACTGAAAAGCACTTCGAATTCATAATAAATTAGAAGGAAGATCAACTTTAGACAGACGGTCCATAGGGAGGTTACGTGACATTAAATTTTCTATTTTTTTAACAATGCGAGAGTGTTAACTCTTGCCAATTAGGACATTAGTCGTATTCCAGTTGAATGATAAAATAGTTGAATTAGGAAATGTTAAATCCAAGACACTGCTCGCTTTACCATTACTTAAAAACTGCTGGCATTGAGGGCATTTACAAGAATCCTGCCTTTGTTGTTTGAGAGCTGATCACCATAGAAGCAATGTCTAGTATCGAAATCTCCAGCTAGAATCACATTTTGTTCGCCATCAAGAAATTCACATAATCTCTGAATCTCATCCCGGAAAGTTTGTACATCAACATTAGGTGGAAAGTAGCATGATGCTATGATTCAGTTTAAGATTCATGGTTTTGATGATGATAATGTCAGTAGCAGAATCGTAGGGAATACGTCTTTCTCAACTCATAGGAATTATTATCCAGGCATTGAAAGTAATTAGGAAAATATTTCTCTTCACTTCTTTGTAGGAAAAGTTTTTAGTAGCCATACTCTTGTTAATAGCTAACTCCTGCCCTCTGTTCGGGCAAGACTCGTTCAAAGTGCTACATCCACTTGAGTCACAGGACAGACACGTCATCGTTTCACAATTTTCGGCCTTGCCACAATTGAAGCCTCCTTGTCTTTACAAAACTTAGAAACATGCCCATGCCCACCGCACCTAAAGCATTGTTTTAACGTGGGAACAAAGTAGTTAACCAGAAGATTACAAAAATTAAACTTAATCGACTTAAGGAGGGTGTTTCCTTTGAAACCAATTTTTATACTGGTTGTCGGAACAGCATCTTTGTTATCAGAATTCCCTCTTCGAGGCCTAACGGCAGACTTCATGAGAATATCGGACATTCCACTTTTAATAATCTCATTCACATCGTGATCAATCTGTTCGAATATAAGCTCTAAAGATTTTCTTTTTAAAATCATTATTTTTACTAAAATTATTAAGGCGAAGAGCAGAACTAAACAATAATTTGGTTCTACCTTTATTAACTGTTTTGAGGTCTTTTAAGTCATCAGTATTAAAACTTTTAAGTTATTCATAAAAAAAATAGACCACGACATTTTCACAAGTTTCAACAACTACAATGAAATTACGAAGCATAGTCGTACAAGTTAATTTCTGGACTTGGAATGCCTTTGGCACCCAAATGAGAAAGCTTACTAACAACCCTGTTATCAAGTACTTTTTTACCACCAAATGAGGAAATTAATTCAGCACCATGCCGAGCCATCCTCAATCTCTGGTTCATATCAATACTATACACAAAATAATCCTCAAAGTGATTTACATTTACAATAATGTGATCAGATCCTATATTTATAGAGACACAGGCTGATGTTGTATTAGCTTTTATGGATGCTATTTCGGGGGACACTTACCCAAAGCCGAAAGTAAAAATAAAGAAAGGCTCTTTAATACATTAAAAAAAAAAACAGTTTAGGAAATTACACGCGCAAGTATAATTTTCACATAAAAAAAATCACTAAACGATTCAATCAAATAGTACTAGTTTTTATTTTACTTTATGTGCTTTAAATTGAGATAGGCGAAGTTTTTTTTTTTTTTCACTAACACATAAAACGCATGTCAAAAAAAAATTTCAGCTGCCGTTTACTAAAATGTGTCGTGTTGTTTCGAGTGTTGATTGTGAAGGGAACTCGCTATAACTATCAAGCTATTACTAGCTACCCATTAACCAGGCGTTGTACGCGTTTCATCGAAGTTTTGATTAAAAAAATTTAGAATTAGGTCGAATAATATTTTAGATCATGGCTCAAATTCGTTTGTGATGTACTAAAAGTTCATTAAAAAAAAACCAACCTACATAAAAAATGGGTAAGCAATGTAAGCACTCACTTTACTAACGTAGGGATTTATAAAAGTAGCTTTTTCTGTTTTCAACTTACCCTTTTCATGGTTACCCTTGAAAGTTAAAGACGTATGGATTTTATTATTTTTCTCCTCTTTTAATTGATTTTGAATACGTATGCTATCGTTACTTCCTATTTTTCATTACTCCCGCGTTTTTTAATTACCTGTGTACGGCTGTGAAATAGAGTCTTTTATATCTGTCAAATGAGACGAGCACAAAATAGTATACGTTTTTGTGTTTTGGTCTTTTGGGATCAATGTCAGTCCTTTAGAGTTGCATTTATCAAAGAAAACAGTGCAGTAATTATGTACCTGAAAATAATGATACCGATTATGTACGGCGTTAACTAGCTTTCGGTTTCCACTATTTTTAGCCATATATATGCAGAAAAGGTGCGCGAAATGCTCTCTCAAAATTGAACAAAATTGTTCACGTTTTGCGTTAGTATTGATTGTTTAGAGCTGCATTTATAAAAAAACAAAATAAGTTGTAAATTGAAAAATAAAACAAACTCCAAACAAAATTATTTTTCCTACAAACATATGAAGAAAACAAAATATCTTAAAAAAAAACTTATCACTGTAGCGGATATATTGACCTAATCTGTTTTACTAAGCAAAAACAAAAGACAAGGTAAGTCAAATGCTGTCATTATATAATAAAGTAATGTTGAGATATATATGGACATCAGACGGAATGGTTCTTTTCTTTATATAATGTCATTTGGCAGTAGAGAAACATCGAGATTGGCCGAAAAGAAATCTTGTAAGACTTAGAAGGGTCCTGCGGAATGCTTTAAATCTTCTCACGTTATCCGAAAATTGGTGAGTAAATGATTTTATACATGTCGATTTTTTCGAAATTTTCGCGTTGATGTATATAAAGGATAGTATTAAATTAATTTTTCAAAAATATAAATGAAGCTTTTATATTTTTCAACGTTTTAGTTTAATAGAAAAGGTGAAAATCAGTCTAAGGAAGATGAAACAATTTGCCAATGTTTGTGCAGCCCTTTACAACGTTTACGTTCATTATAAAGTGCAAAATCTGGAAATTCAAGATTTAATTTATGTGGCTTCTGCATTTTAGTTTGACGGCGGTGTAGATGCTTCGCTAGAGCTCTCCCAATTGAGACGAATAAGTGAGGAAATAAGAGCCGGCATATCTTCTGCACTTGCAAATGAAATTGTTTTGAAAGAGAAGAAAGAGATATAAAAAATAAACCCACTTTAAAATATTTTGCAAAAATTAAAAAGTTGGCTTTTGTGTATACGGTGCAAAGCAAGCGCTGATTTGCAAATCATTTTAAAATATTAAGCATTTTTTATAAAAAAATTCATATGTTATCCGCCTGAGTGACCGAGTAAGCAAGAGTCTCGATTAGCAACTCTCAGTGGCCGTAAGTTAAAAATCTCAAGTGCGGTAGAGTTTTTAATAAAGCCGAAAGACTTAGAGGCTAGTGCTTTATGACTTTAGTCTTATAATTTATTCTCTGGTTACATTTTTATAATAATAATAATAATAATAAATTCATATGTTAGTGTATAAATATATAAAATATTAATAAAATCATAAAAAATTTAAAGTTCAAATTCACAATTCATAGTTTTCCTAGAAAATGAAAATTTGAAACAAAAATGAAAACCGATATAAGTTAATCCGAATCGTCTTCACTGTCGAATTTATGTGGCCGAATTAACTCGTTCTCTTTTTTGGCTAGCTGTATCTTGGTGCCGTCCGGAATTTCATTTTATCAAACATATTTTATAGTTTGGTTTCTATTTACTTTTGCATGATGTTGTTTGTTTGTCAACAAACAAACGCTATATATGTTTTTTCTTACACACTCATGGTAACGCGGCTTTTCTTGTTTTTACCATTTGGGATTTTTTAACATAGGAATAATAAAATATTTCGTTAGTCGCATAACTCGTCATTCTGAGTAGTTTGAGGCTAATACATCGACTTTTAGTTTAGGCGTTTTAGCCAATTCCTAAAGAAATAATTATTCCGGAATAATGGCAACTTGGTTTACCGTTGTTATTGTATTTATATATTTGTATACAAAATATTATTTACTGTTAAGTTGTTTTTGTGCACTCGCCTGAACTTTCCTAGACACGTCAACAAAGTACTATTTGGAATTCCTGGTTGCATTTGGATTAAAGGCGATATTTTAAAATTATTTTGATCTAAAAAAAAATTTTTTTTTCATTATTTTGTGCAAAAAATGCGCATCAGCAACATACGGAGCGGACGTATATGCCGTTTGGTCTTATGTTGTTTGGTCATATTTCCCTTGTTATATCTGCTTACTACATGGAGTGAAAAATATAAACGTTCTCAGGAGGTTTATCAGGCACAGTCTATACATTATCAAAAGCTAGAGAGTAGACTGAAAGAAGTTCCGGTTCTGGTAGAGGGTATTTCTGTGAAAACGTTCTGTTTGTTAAAGGTTAATGTATTTTCTTTTTTTTGGCTTAGGCTTGGGCAATTTTGAACCTAAAGATATGCCAAAACGTAATGGCCCGGGGGAAAATGGCAAACCTCACCATTTGCCAGCCGAGAAGCAAGCTGAGGCTGACGAATCGGAAATGCAGTACGGGATGAATATAGCTTGCTCTGATGAAATTTCTATGCATCGTAGTATACTTGACACGCGTTTAGAGGAGTGCAAGCATTGGAATTATCCGTACGATTTGCCTACAACTAGCGTAATTATAGTCTTTCACAATGAGGGATTTTCAGTACTCATGCGTACCGTGCATTCAGTTGTTGATCGCACACCCTCTCATGTATTGCATGAAATACTCCTTGTGGACGATTATTCCGACAAACAAAATCTTAAAAATAATTTAGATGAATACATCAAAAAGTTTAACGGTTTGGTTCGTTTAATACGAAATTCTGAAAGAGAGGGTTTGATACGAACCCGTTCAAGAGGAGCCAAAGAAGCAACAGGTGAGTTGACAGGAAATCAGTATTGCTGTTAATTCGTTTATAAGACTTAGGACTAATCATCATAGATATCGTAAAGTAGATCTTGTAGATCTGATCTTGTAAGCTGATCTTGTAGATCAGCTTAATATTTTATGGCTCGAAGAACAAATTTAGCTCATATGTGCTTGGTGGGATTCTATTGATCAAGTAAGAAAATAGAATTTTCAAGACAAGGTCAGTAGGCGAACAGAAATTTCAGAACAGCTTTATTAATCGATTTGATTTTAGTTTTTCAGAGTTAAGCATTTTTAATGACCTCCTTGAGGTTATCCACGCGACCGTCTTTAAAAAAGGCAATAATTTCCTATTAGTTATGTAAATTATTATCTAAGTAAGGACCCAAACAAACATAGTCCTGTTTCCCTTTTCATAGGGGGAGCACATAAGGTTATCAAGCGTTCGTAAAGTAAAGAAGCGTTATTCAAAATCAAAATTTACCTATGTATGTGTATTCTTGATCAGCGTAAAATTTTAAGTTGACCATGTCCATTCGTCTATGTGGTGTTTGTTGTTAGTCCTCTCCTGATCGCAAAAAATCAACTTCAAATTTGATTGGAAGTCATGGCACGCAGGTTGGTATAGAAAACGGGCCAGATTGGTCGGAGCAAAGCCCGCAGTGGCGCATAAACTGAACGATAAAAGTTTCACAGCTTATAATTTCCCACTTACTTTAGGAATCAATCTACTCTTAACACGAAAAAATGCAAAAAATCAGCCATGGTCACACAAAGTTACAAGTGGTTAAATTTTATTTTTTTCACTTGTTTGAGGTTTTATGCTTATTTATCATAAGGCAAACAAGACAGAATGCTTAAAACTACTTTGTACATTCCTCAAATGAAGATTTATTATTTGCCTAGGAATGAGTCGATTCTAAAATGAATATGGTAAACACCGCGATTGATTTTTTTTTAATAATACTAAGGATATGGGTATCAAATATAAGAACTTGGAGAGTACAACGTGAACACCATAGTTGTGGATATGCGCGATTCAGCCCCCGCCGAATATAACTTTTTTGCTTCTTTGTTTTGTTATGTTAGGCATATGTTTGCTTGCTATATCTTAACTATTTTACAACAATGACTCGTATATGACAGGACGTTTGTTTGTAATACGTAGAGTGCTTACATAATATTCTTGTTTTAGTGAACTATATTTACTCATTTATAGATATTAAATGAAAAAAAAAACACTGAAGGTTGAATAAATTTTTTTTGTTGTTTATGCGTAATTCCGTTGTTGTACAGATTGCCTTGTATTTTCAGGGGAAGTTATCGTATATTTGGATGCTCACTGTGAGGTCAACGTTAATTGGCTGCCACCACTTCTAGCTCCTATTTATCGAGATCGTACTGTTATGACTGTTCCAATCATTGACGGTATTGATCACAGGACTTTCCGGTACCATTCGGTGTATGGGACCGAAAATCATTTTCGGGGTATCTTTGAGTGGGGAATGTTATACAAGGAAAATGAATTACCCAAGCGAGAACGAAGACGCCGTCAATATAATACAGAGCCTTATCGTAGTCCTACACATGCTGGCGGACTCTTCGCCATCAATCGTGAATACTTCTTAGAACTGGGAGCTTATGATCCGGGCTTACTGGTATGGGGTGGTGAGAATTTTGAATTAAGCTTTAAAATTTGGCAATGCGGTGGAAGTATTGAATGGGTGCCGTGTTCGCACGTGGGGCACGTTTATCGAGGCTTTATGCCCTACAATTTCGGTAAATTAGCCGAGAAGAAGAAAGGATCTTTAATAACCATCAATTACAAGCGAGTTATTGAGACATGGTTTGATGATATACACAAAGAATATTTTTACACACGTGAACCTTTAGCGCGCTATCTGGATATGGGAAATATTAGTCAACAGTTAAATCTGAAAAAACGGCTCAATTGCAAATCATTTCAATGGTATATGGATAATATCGCGTACGATGTGTACGATAAATTTCCTTCTTTACCTGCCAATTTACATTGGGGTGAATTGCGAGCTGTGGCCACCGATACTTGCCTAGATTCAATGGGCAATCAGCCGCCGGCACTAATGGGATTATCCCATTGCCATGGTTCCGGCAACCATCAACTGATACGACTCAACGCAGCCGGTCAATTGGGTGTGGGCGAACGCTGCATAGAGGGTGATCGTCAAGGCATTAAATTAGCAGTTTGCCGCTTGGGCACAGTAGATGGCCCTTGGAGTTATAATGAGCAATCGAAACATTTACTCCACCGCGGCCAGAAAAAGTGCATGTCCCTACATCCGGTTACACAGCAATTATTCTTGGCTTATTGTGACACCAATGATGCCTATCAGGAGTGGAAATTTAAAACTATTAAGCTGGACTACCACTAAAGAATTTTAAAACAAAAATTTATTACTCGTAAGCAGCATTTTATTTAATTGGCTAACAAGAATCTATCAAATTAACATTAGAAATCTGTTAAATTTAGATTACAGGCATAGCAACTATCGGCAAATTTGTGCTAGATTTCGAAGTCAAGCCACACTAGTTTGCTAATTTATATGCCAATCTAGTTTGCGTTTTATCAGATCATCTTTTCTCTTTCTGTGATCCAAAATTAATTCTCAAGAGCGTACCAGTTTAAGAAGCAGTGATTTTAAAAATTATAAATATTTTTATTTTAAATATTGTTCGCCATTATGCTTATAATAAAACTATATCTACTCTTGATCAGTGCGTATATCGGCCGCGGCTTAGCTATGTTTACCGGGGTGCTTGTTTGGAAGCGTTAAAACCCTTACTAGCATAAGTTAGGTAATCATTGGAGCCAACAAAATCTTTCCATTCCTGGAGCCGCCTACAATTCGAAGGAGAGTAATAGCTCAAATAGGGCTCGCAGTTTAGAGTTTTAAACTTGGCAATTATTTGTTCCTCAATAAAGTGCTTCCTAGAAATTCCGAAATTACCATCCAATCATCAGGCAGAATAACCAAAGAAAAGTTTTTAGCTTGTGTAATAATCACTTGTGCCTAAAAGAAAGGTTTGATGTGATATACTATAAACACCACGCTACATACGGGATATGATTACGTCGAGAGGATGAATTTCACTACCATTCATCAAGTATTGTACATAAGACCAACGGTGGGAACTAAAAAATTCGGCCTCAGTGGAAATTATTTCTTCTTAAATACTTTCCTATTTATTTTGTGTTAAATTTGGACTCTATGCTGACATCCGTTAATTTGTTAATGTGCATATGTATGGCTGTTGCTGTGTTGTGTGCTTAATTATCTAATATGAGATATTTTTATTGACATTATTATTTATAAATTTTTGTGTTGTTTTTCGCCAATTCTTTTATTAAGATCTTTATCCAGATAGCCTCTAACAGTTAAATTAAACTTTTGTAGCTGGACTTAAGGAAATCTGATTTCGTTACAAAAACATAACAGTAATCATATACAGAAAAATAAATTTAAAAAATAGGAAAAAGAAAAAGCTAAAGATTAATAAAGAAAAAGGATTTATAATAATCTTTTGGTATTTTTATTTCCATCATCGAACAGTACGTATATTCACCACAAGGATACGCATCGCATCAAACTTGTCAATAGATTTTACCGGGTTGAAATTCGCATTGAATACGTCAAAAAATGCATATATTGCTGAGTAATATAATAGCGAAGTCAGTGTAGAAACGTTTGTCTATTTGTTCGGTTGTAATTATAATTATAGTGTCAGGAGTTTGTCTAAAAAAACAAACTTGGCGGCCAGTTTTTCTTAACACTTCCTAAAATAAACTTTCAAAATTATAGATCCTTCAATTAGGAAACTCCTTCGTAAATCGGGTCACAGCCATTCAAAATCATATATAAGGGTAAGTAAGGTCGTATATTTATCAGATAATAAACTACACAGACGTATGACTAAGAGTGAATACGGTTTGGAATAATGATTTATATAATGGGCCATATAAAAAGTTTTTGTGATTATTTCCGCGCTTTCGAGATCTTTTTTGTAGCCTGTTCTTTTCAAATGATGTCAAACTGTCATGTGGTTGACGTTTAGTGTCTGCTCTGTTCTTGAGAGCTTACGTACCGGTGTCGACTTTTCCGACCATAGCGAGGTGTATGTTTGGCATCGAAATTTCCTGAACGGACTCGAGAACACCACTGCTGGGTCCTTTGTTCACTCATAGTATTTTCACCGCGCACTTCTCGAATTTTTCGGCATGTTTTTGCATGTTTCACCTTTTTTATATTAAAAAAGCATCGCGTAGCGTATTTCTTCAGGTAATTCAACCATTTTCAAATACATATAACTTTTTACACGAGCAAAGACTGGGATGACTGTCTGCATAAAACAGTAAGCTGAAATGTCACCTTTTAAGCACACCTTAGTTTAAGGCAGTCAGGTGAGTGTTGCACGATATATAGGCATTAACATCATCTCATGGAAAAAACCACAAAGACTTTTGATGACCTAATATGTATACGTATATATTTAAGCGATCCAACTAATAAAAACAGCTAAATAACTTTTCGAAAAATGTACGGTACGGTATCCCTCTTAATGAGAATTTTATTTATTTTAATTCATATATTTAGTTATTAGCAGCTACATATCATTATAGCTTAAAACAAAATACATTATATAGATAAAAGATTGGAAACAACTTAACCTATACCTAAGTCTGTAATGGCAAAAGGAAGATAAAGAAAAATAACAGCAATTTACTAGAATGTTATCGATTGAGTATTTTATGTTTCATATATTTACTTTTATCCGAAATGGAGTAGTGATAATTTTCATTGAAGAGTTTACGTAGAACGGGCGTAGGAGGATGCAGTTCATAGCCAGCCCTACATCGTGGTAAGTGAAAGCGAAGTGCTTACAGATTCCACATGGGACGCTGAAGCCCAGCTCGTTCAATAAGGATGAAACCTCTCCTTTCCAACTAATAAGCTTCTTCACGAAATTCATAGAAAGACCCACCTTTCTAATCTCATGAGAGGTTAGTCTGATTAAAAGAAGCCTGCACTCGTAAGGAGGCGGTGTTTTTTGCGTACCTTATCTAAACCCGAAAAGGATAATTATAAGAAATTGTTGTGGACAAATTCCAGTACCAGCACACAACTGCTAAAGATTGATCACCAAAGTACTGAGGCATACTTGACAGTAAGTGTAATCAGCGACTTAATTCAAAAGAATATAAATAAAGGTGAAGAAAGCACTAACTGATTTCTTTTAATTTCAAAAATTCTTTCAAAATTATTGAGTCGATGATCGTTTGTGTCTAATCAAAGCATATCGAACCATCAATTAAGAAAAAAGTAGAAAATCTTGGAAGCATTCATCAACTGTGCATATCTAAAAAGTTTTGCTCGGAACTTTTCGAAAATAAAGAAAACTAAAGATTTAAGAAAATTTAAGAAAAAATATGAAAGAGCCCGTGTCATTGCTGCAAATATATATTTATATATTACTGAGAGACTACAAGTTAATGAATTTTGAGCATCCTTGGTACCATTTGCCTACAGAAAGTATAGAAGGAACAAATGCGTAAATATATGCTCATACACAACGGCCATTTGGAAAGTTTCAGCAATCAAACGAAATTGTAAATAAACTTCATCGATCGAATCTATTAAAACGGCACGCAAACTGGTATTACCCTCCAATTGCCTTTCTACCTGATATTTATCAACTGGTAGTTCGAGCTACAATTGAAATAGATACTTTGAGACAGACGGATAAGATTTCGAATCTTCAATTTTCTCTTTAATTTAACTATTATTATTTTACAGTATAATTTATAAATAAAACTGTAATTGACGGAAGAGCTTCCGGCGGAGTATTACGTAAGTCGTTATTATATTACACAAAATGATTATTATTAATTTTCTTACATTTAACATAAAAAAGAAAAGAAAACTCAATTTTTTTCTTTACTTTGTTAATAAACACGATTGTTATGTATATTTATTTATTTATTTCAATTCTACTTATACATGAAACTCAACTAAACAAATAACAGTCGAGTTCAATTGGCACTTAAAGCAAAACTTATATTAAATTAAAATAAGTTCAATAAAACAAATAAGAAGGAAAAAAAAAGACAAAAAGCATGTACATTACCAGCATAGAGTCACACTTACAACCGGTACAGGACCAAATTGCAAATGAACCCCTAAGCCATCGCAAACATGCATAAGCCTGGCAACCGATAATACTTAACAACAATTCATTTTCCAATCGTAACGACTTTTAGGGAGAAAAACTAATTTAATTCAGGCATAGGCAAATCACGCGTATTAAGCAACGTTGCTTTAATGGACTTTAAGGAGTCCGATAACGAGAATAAGTGATAGACGTCATTTAGGTTCTTGCAAACTACTCTGAGCGGATTGAACAGCTCATAATTATATTTACACTGACTAGGCTTAACCAAGATGAAGTACCTGGAGAAGCGGTTGGGGGCATTAAAGCTTATTTCTCCAAGTAATGAAGGCGAGTCAATAGCACCATTTATTACTTTGATTACAAAGGAAACGCCAAGAACAAACCTACGTTTCTCAAGAAACGGTAAGGACAGCAGAAGCAACTTATTTTCATAGGGAGGAAGAGAGGCAATCGGATCCCAACCCAAATTTCTCAGGGCAAACAGCAAGAATTGCTTTTGAACAGATTCAATTGAATCTACATAGCCCTTATATGAAGGAGACCACACAACAGAGGCATACTCGAGTATGGGTGTAACCAAACACATGTACAGCCTTTTCGTAATGTAGGGATCATCAAGCTCTTTGGACCACCTTTTTATAAAATCAAGCGCAGACCTAACGTTGCTTGTCGAGAGCTCAATATGCAAGTTGAAACGTAACCTATGGTCAAATAGAACGCCTAAATCTGTGATCGAATCGACGTCCTCCAACTTATGCGAATCTATGAAATACTGAGTAATGAATGACTTTCTTCTTGAGAAAGAAAGCTTCCTACATTTACTCAGATTTAGTTTCAGAAGATTCACAGACCACCCTGCAACAAAATTATCCAAGTCACCTTGAAGCTGATGTGATTGCGATTCAACAGAGAAGGAGGAAGACAGTTTCACATCATCCGCATATATATATATATATAATTTTTTTTTAAAGAAGAACAAATATGTTACAATAAGATGATAAGATAATGCCCCTTAATTTTCCCTGGCAACGGGGTGAGCAGAGTATAGGAGTCTGTCGGTCCGTTTGAGAACTGATGTAGTTAGGGTCCGTTCATTTTTAAATTATATCTGTAGTGTAACAAAAATAAGGACAGTTGCTTGAACCACCCCAGATGCCGAAGAGCTAGATCACAATGGAAAAGCGTGTTCAAAATTGTTTCTTTTTTTTGCCATTTAGTTACAATATTAAACTCCAAAATGCTACAACACACCGGATAACGTACAATCACCAAAAGCAATTAGAGAACATCTGCGGTTAAGGAAATTTGAAATTTGCCGTGAAAATGCAACTTGAATAAGTTAAGTGAAATGGTCGAATGCACGTGGCATCACGCTCAACCTTTCAGTCGTGTTACAGCAGCCAGAGTAAGTGGTCACAGACTACATAACGTGTTGACGTTACTGCTAGGTTTTGTTGACTTTACGGATAGGGGATGGCAAGTTTGGCTTAGCCGTCATCCCTGACCAATGGATACTGTCTCTAGCGACGTGAAACGGTTAGGGGCGGACGAGTGGCCCTATAGGCCAAGGTTGGCTGCTGTAACACCCGCGGCGTATTCCTTTTCTTTTACAGAATCTCGCGATACGATTAAAGCGTAAACAAAATAATAATAATCTTTCGGGACCTCCCTTAAAATCGCTTATCTATTGTAAAATTCCTCGGAAATAAATAAATAGAAACGTAAGAACAAAACCGTATGTCCAGGTTTTTTATTACAAAATTTCTTGGAAAGAACCTGGATTGGCTGAGTATACCCTGCCCAAGAAAACTCGTTACAATATATATAAAGGTGTACATATCAATACATACTAATTGCTTTGCAAAACAAATTTCGCTTTAAATTAGTTATCAGCAAGTGGTTATATGGGCGCTGAAATCCTACACGAGAACTTAATCTTTCAATGAATATTGGAGAAACAAATTCCAGTTATATTTCTGCGCTATATGTATTTGATAACGGTGAGGAGAAGTGAGGACGAACTATATTAGCATATATTTATAAATTACGCACACAAATCTCGTATGCAGATAAAAGCCCAGACAAAACAACCAAGGAAAACAATAGCCGTAACGTTTCATCAGCAAGAAGAAAAGCATCAATGCAGATTGGTGCGGGTAAAGGCACCTATGCATAT